ATATAGTTTTTATGCTGAAAAAGTGTAATTGAATAACCCACAGAGAAAAATAACTAGCAGACATAGTCTTATTAGCTATAAAGCAAACTGCAGTATCATAACAGTGTCACGTGAATTCTGAAATTATGCTAGTAAATGCTGTGTACATCATATTTTGTCACTTTTCATTTTGTTGTTTAGCTCTTGAATTTGGAATAATGCTTGCATATATGTTGCAGGTTACAAGGAACCAACACCGACTGTTATACTACCTGCTGTTTTTGAGGATGTTTCCTATGTCCCCAAATTGGCTCATAAACTTATCTTGCCCAGTATTGGATGTTCCAGTCAAAACATTTTTCATAACTGTAGTTCTAGGTACAGTAAATCAGTTCCAGATCTCTTATAAGACAATATAAAATTAATTATTTTTATTATTCGTGTTTCTTTTTTCCCCCTAGCTATGCCATAGCATAGGCTTGTCACAAAATTGGCCTGAGCTCAATTCCAGGGTGGCCCTTAACAAGCTACCTGAGTTTAAGAATACAAAGGCATATGGCTGCGGTTCATGTGCTCTTTCATACTGGTTGAGACAGGATGAAGTATAAATATTCTTTAAGTTTCTAAATATCATGGCTTTTTTTTTTCATTTCATGCATCCTGTTGTGTTGTGACAGTTTTAATAAAGAAATTATATTATGGCTTTATTGCTTTTATTACTTGTTAATGTACATATAAAGTAATTTGGCCATCAATTTGAAGAAGACTCAGATTTAATGGTATGTGGCTGAGTCTGTAGTAAATTGAATCCTATTTATGACACCTCTTAAAAAAAAGAAGTATGTTGTTCTTATTCACATTTTGTGATCTGCAGGTTTGATGCCATACAACTTCCTAACAGTTCAAGCTGGCGAGATCTTAGGTTCTCTCACATCTATGAATGAGCTTATCAAGGTGGACACCTTCATAAAAATTACAGTAATGGCATGTGTTGCTTNACTCTACTAACGCGGGAGCTATACAAGTCTCCCTGAAATACACACTCCGAGTATAACTGTACTACAGCAATCACTATGTCTGGAAAGCACACAATAAGTCTTCCGCTCGCTGACTTCTTAGTTATCGCACACTCGCAGGCTGCTATGTTTCAACTGATCTGTGAATAGCCTTCGCTGCTCCCTATGTAGCCTCGATCGGACAATACGGCCACGTAATAGGCACCCTTGTTGCTATGTCGCTGTGTTGCTATGTAACGCTAGCGGAGGTAACCGCTGTTACTACCGTAACGTCGCCGCTGTTGACTCGCGTTGCCTAGCGACCGCGATATCCCTCGGTGACGTCACCGCGGAGGGGAGTGGCGGGGCGGGAACTCGCCTATTACCGTAGTGACGCGAGCGTTACGTTGCCGCCACGTTCCGCTGGGGAGGTAAAGGTCAATATGTCACAATATTCTTATTTGCATAACTAATATATTTTTAAATCACAGATGTTGTATTTGATTGTTTGAATTTACAGATATATAAATAATCATAATTTTTTAATGCAGAATCTCCATACTTTAGCATTATACTATGTAGCATGAGAAGGAAACTGCATTTTTCAGTAACTCTTAAGAATCCCACATCCAAGGTAATATATATTTGCAGATTGGCACAGAAACTGTAAGGCCAGTTGCTGTAAGTAGATCGCATCCATCTTCAGCATCAAAGAATAAGCCTGCCTGCTTGTCACCTGCTTTCGTACTGGTTTCTTGCTCGGCTTATTCTTCGACCCTGAAGATGGAGGCGGTATGTTTCCCCAAAATGTTGGGTGACTTTCAGCAGACTATGTGGCACTATATCCCAGAAGGCTGTACTCTCCATAGTCATTCCATTTTCCTCATATGTCCAATAATGAGGACAGGTTTATCACACCAAAACTTTTCTCATGGCTGATCCTGACAAATTCAGGAGAATATTTAATGTTACACAGTTGTAATATATACCATCTGAAATTTTAGATTTTCAAGATAACAATGAAGATTACTGCCTTGTGGGATCTGATACTATATAGTTTGGCAGATAGGTACCAACGTTTCAGAGGAAACTGCTGCAACCATCTGTTGGATAGAAGAGTTACAAAATATATTATCAGAAAATTTCAAGGAATGACTCCACATGGAAAACCTAGGTTTAGTTATGATAATATTAAAATGAATCTTAAACACGGACAATACTAAGAATCTCCTTTCTCAAGATAGACAGGCGGCACAAGATCAGCCACCTCCCAAAAAAGACAATAGGAGAATCAACACGAACCTCCATGGTTTATAAATTTTAATCTTGAACTACAAAGTTTTTAAAAAACTTTAAAAAGTTTTAATACCAGGAAGGCTGCTGTGACTGTGAAAGGTTGAACATTGTGTACATTGTATATTTTAGACATTATATGTGTATGTATATAATTTAACACCTATTGTAATGGTAGTTTCCGGAGAAAGTATTGGCCCTCTAAGCATGATCCGTAGGGATCGAAACATGTAAGGGTGATGAGTTTTCAAGTGATAAAACTTAAATAGTCACACTAGATGGTGTTGTTTTTGTCTTTGGAATCTTAAACAGAATAAAAAATGTAGACTGGTTTCATCTGGCTCATAATAGGGACTAGTGACTTGCTTTTGAGAGTACTGCAAAGAATCTTCGGGTTCCATAAAAGGCTTAGAATTTCTTCAGCAGCTGAACAAGTACTGCTTTCTCAAGGAGGACTATGAAGAGAGTCATTTGAGGTGTATGTTATATTTTTATATAAACTATATACAAAATGTAGCAAAAGATATTTATTAATAGGCCAGAAGTGGCCGCAGTACAAGGGACTTAGTCCCACCCCACTAGCAATAAAAAAAAAGGTGCCGATAAGTCTTTGGCTTTTCCTATTTCACCTACTTTTACACTAGGAATACTTTTACCACATCAAAGTTTATTGTTTTGTATATGTCTGACCTAAATTTCATCATTGTGGCCTGATTATTTAATGTTTATTGCTGGTCTGAAATGAAAATTGCACAAAACAATGGAGATTTCACTGCAAAAGAGTGATGAGCGGTGATGAAATACCTTTCCTAAAAGGGAACTAGGTCCAAAAATTTAAGATTATGCTGGTTAAATCAGGCGATAAGTGCCCTTCCTGCTCCACAGTCAAGAACTCAGTTGCTAGGTTTAGAGCAGGGCAATTTAAACACTGAAGTTGAAGAACATTCTGGGAGACCAACTCAAGTGATAATTTCACTAAACGTTGATGCCATTCATGATCCATGATCTTAGATGATAGAAGAATATCCACAAAAAATATAGCAGACACCCTGGTGATATCCCGAGAAAGAGTAAGCTATATAATTCACAAGATTTCAGACATGAGAAAGCTCTCAGCCAAATGTCTCAATGCTGATCAGAAGTGTGATTTGAGTGCTTGCTTCTCTAGCCATTTTAGACCAATTTTGGCAGGATCCTGTAGGATTTTTTTAACTATCCCCTAACTATGGGTGAAACTTGGATCCATATATAAGATCCAGAGACTAAAGAACAATCCAAGGAGTGGAGACACAGTGGTTCCCTGTGTCCAAAGGAATTCAAGACAAAGAATCCATCAAGCAAGCTGTTGGCATCTGTCTTCTTGGACAAAGATGGACTGCTTGTAGACTACCTGGAAAAGGGGGCAACCATCACGGCAAAGTACTACGTTGCACTTCTTGACAAACTGAAGAAGCAACTGGTCTCCAGACAGGCACACTTTCGAAAGGAATCTTGTTTCTTCAAGACAAGGCAGCCATTACACACCAGAAATTGGTAGATCTTGACTTTGAAGTTCGGAAGCACCCGACCTACTCACCTGATTTGTCCCCTTTGGACTGCTGCCTCTTTCCTAACCTAAAGAAACACCTCAAGGGGAGAAAATTTCCAAGCATTGAGAATGCCATGAATGCGGATGGGTGGTGTGCAGCATAACCAAAAGAATTTTTCCTGGATAGGTTAAGGAAGTTAGAACAATGAAGTCATAAATGTGTGAAGTTCAGGGGGGAATATGTAGATACATTTTTTCTATCCCGTAGACTGTTGTTTTCTTTATAAAGCCAATCTTAAGGTACTCGTATATTTTTTTAAAGGTGAGGGCTACAAGATATCCCCCCCCCCCAGTCATGTTTCAACATTAATTTTATGATTTGCTTGTAGAATTAAAATTCTGAGACCACATAATCTTATATTAACAGACTAAATGTGTTTGTGCCACATACTAGTTAAGTACAGCATACTGAATTAACAGGTTTTGTTTGTGAAATAAAGCTGATGTGATTTCGGGATATTTGAAATGTTCTGACGATTCTAGCATTGTAAATAGATTAATCAGATAACATAAAATCGTTATGTGGTTACTAGGCATGTGTAGAATGACATTTGCAGTTTTAAGTAAGAATCTGGAAAAATTCTGAGAACTGTGATGAGTACTGGAATTTTTTCTACCAGGAGAGGTTTTGTTTTGCTGTAATTACAATTTTGGAACACCCGACTACTTTTTCACAGTGCACTAAAGTATACCACTTATCCATCTTGATATCAGACTCTGATGTTACGTGGATAAATTAAGAAAGATGCAATGTGAGGGAGGGAGACAGATGTTCACAGATCAGGTAGTTTGTGTGCTAATGCACAAAGCGAAAGCAGTTGCCTGAAAATTCTTGAGGTTCAAAGTCACTGTTTCATTTGAGAAAAAGATTTTATTTTCAATTCGATCTTGAATAAGGTAAATTCATTCATCAGTAATCTGTCAGATGACAGTTCCACAGTCTCTTCCAAAACAATTCCTCCACTTAATGCGATCTAGAGCTTTCTCCTTCAAATGACAGTATCCTGCAGGAATTCTAAAAATGTGTACTCTGATAACGAACAGTGACAATAATTTTTACAGATTAGCGATATATTTATCACTGCATAGTTTCAGCATCAATATCAGGGTGTGGAGATTCGGTCTAAAATGAATATACATTTGAATTGTGTTTGTAAGTTCTTTATTCTCAGGCAAATAGATTTGTGTCCAGTAGAAATGTGTGGATTGAAACATTCCACAATAAAAGCAGAATAAGCAGAAATATGTTGAAGAGATATACTGAATGTAATCTCATCAAATGTGCATTTTTGTAGAACAGTTTTACATTTATTCAGCACTTCTTTGCCAAATATAGACATTTTTAATATATTCTCATTATTCTTAGTGAATACAGTAGGCTATACAGGATTTGTGTAATGTACCACTGCATACCCAGCTTCATTCATTCCAGAAATCTTCACTGCACAAGCATCCGATGTATCACTCATGCACATTTCATGTTATCGATTTTTCATATTCCAGCAAAAACATTTTTCTGTAACCACAGCACCAAAACATGATGTGTTTGTCAAGTTCAGGAACTGATTTTTATGGTGTGAAACAAAAAGTCAAAATAGTTAATCCAATTAACAGTTCCCCTGGTTGTTCAGAGTAATAACATCTGTTGGAGCACCTCCAGTGCTCTTCTTTGTGATGGCATTTGATTCCCAATTACACTGTGTATTATCTCCAGAATGGCAGCTTCCCACCTGAGATATGAGGTCAGGAAGCATTCCAGTTATGTCCGTTATTCTGTATCCATTTTTATGTCAATCCCAGAACTTTATGGTCATACTACATGCATTTTTAAATGGCAAAGCGAAGGAAATCTATAATTGCAGGTAGTTTTTCTATATTTCAGAAATTACTTTGGGTACATCATATTAAAATAATTGTGGAATGGTTCTTGCTCAAAGCTGGAAAGGAGAACACTTAGTGGGAAAATTTCTGTATAAATATCTATGGTTCATTGTTTTCTGCCAATGCTGTTTTAGTTAATTTGATATCTTCCAGGACTATAACCCAACATTAGCAATGGATTATTGTACATCAAACTTTTTCTCTGTGCAGTGTAAGGTCATTGGTAATAGAACAATGACTCTCTGTAAAGGTATGGGAAAAAAAACATGTTTATCACTAATAGCCAATGTTGTATATGGGGCAGATTTGATTATCTGTATTGTAACACTGATTAGTATCTTGCGATTTTGCAACTGTTTGTATGTGGAGGTGTGAAGAGTCATGTATTATTGCTCAGTAAACTACTATTACATTTCCAGTTATTTAAAACTGTTCAGGGTAACTGTCTTAAAAAAATACCTTAATCCTGCACTCCCCTTCCTGAGTAGTTACATTTTGGGCTCCAGAAATACCCTTGCACTCTAACTGGGTGAATTAACAGACTGCTGACTGGTAGAGAAATATGTGTATGAAGCAAAAGCAGGAGCATGCATGAGTGTATCTTGTATACTTCTGGAACTCTTGTTGCAGTTATTATGTAATTTCACAAGGAATGAGAGTATCCATGATATACAGTATTTCAGTAATGGATGATTTTATTGTGTTGCAATATGGCATTCATGCAGGAGCAAAGAACTTGTGTGAAATTTTATGTCAGACTGTAAAACAGCTGTACAAACCAACACAATCTTGTGTGAACCTTACGGCAATGAGGCTTTGAGTAAAAGGGTGACCTGCAAATAGCACAAACATTTCAAAAGCAGAAGAACATCAACAGATGATACTAAGAGGTTGTGCCAACCTTCAACTTTGAAACAAATTCTTTGATTACCTAAGTGAAAGACGCCTATACAAATCACTGACCGTACAGGAAGTAGTAGAAGAGACTGGGATATCCACCGGCTCATGTCACACAGTTTTAACATATGGTTTTAGGATTCATTGGGTCTCAGCAAAATTTGTGCCAAGGCTCTTGACTGGAGATAGAGAATTCAATATGTTTTGGTTAGCAAAGATCTTCTGCAGTAAGCAAACACTGAAAAGCCTCTGAAGAACTTTGTCACTGAAGATGAGACTTGCATTTATGGGTAAGATACTGAATCAAAACAACAGCCACTGCCATGGAAGAATTCTGATTTTCTGCAAAACAAAAAGCATGACAAATGTGCTCAAAAGTGAAAGCAATGTTGTTGTTTTTTTTTTAATTGATCGTGGCACTGTTCATCATGAGTTCATTCCAGCATGCAAGAAGTTTAACGAAGCTTATTATCTAGAAGTTTTGAGGTGTGTGAAGGGTACAATATGAAGAAAACGTGAACATGCAGGAATGTGGCACTTCCATCACAATCACAACAATGCATCAGCTCACATAGCACTGTTGAGTTGAATTCTTTGCAAAGCATTAATTCCTATTCCCCATCACCTTCCTATTTGCCTGACCTATCCCCTCCAGGCTTTTTTCTGCTTCCAGAAATAAAAGTGACTGAAAGGAGGAAGTTTTCAAATGGTAGAGGACACCATTTGGAACCCAACAGATCAACTGAGGGTGATTCAACAAACAATCTTTGTACAGTGCTTCCAAAATTGGAAAAGCTGATGAGAGCAGTGTATTATTGCTCAAAGAAATTATTCTGAAGGGGACAGGTTTAATTAAGCTGTAAATCCTTTATTATCAACAAATCCTGGGAACTCTTTGAACCTTGTATACAGACAAATGCCTGCAAGAACAAAACATCAAGGGAAAAAATGTTTCTGTGTCACTGGACAGTATTATAATTAAATGCAAAAATTTTACAGTAAAGAACCTGGCCCATTCTCGGTCTGAACCTGATAAAAACTTTCCTAAAAGGATGATGGAAATTCCAATTTTGATCTGTTACACTTTCCATTAAATTACTGTGCCAAAGACATTACTTGATAATGTATAGTTCACATAGCCTTCATCTGTGCCATCAGGTCATCTAGGCTGACCCCTGATGTGTCAACTTGATTTGTGTCTACTTCTGGAGCTGCTGAAGATGGAATGCTATATGCTGCCTTCACACCTGCTACCAGACCTTGACCTAAGTTCTTGTCTACCTCCAGCTCACTGGGATCCGTCTCGTCCACCAGACAGATACCTGTACAGGCATATCAGCTTAAGAAGTCTGGTGATGTAATGCAGAGAGTATTGTAAGGGTGCCAGTTACTCACAGACGATATAATTAATAATGTAAATAGAAAATAGCCTGTTAAAAGTAACAGAAAACTTAAAAAATTAATTTAATAAACATATTTGTTAGGTTATGTTTAATACCAGATAAAGCCACAACTTACTCTAAAAAATATGAATACAACTCTAAATAAATATATTTAGGCAAAAGAGTAAAAACATTACAGGGCATTTTATGCTTCAGTTATTAAGGAAATGTCTGTAATTAGTTCTACACAATGCGTTAATGATTAAATTTTATGCCCAAGAAGTAATGTTGATCTGATAATGATGAATTTTGTAACAGTTTTGATGGACAGCTTAAAACTTATCTATGTGTAAAAGGTAGACGTAATGTTGTCCCTCTGCTTAATCAATTAAGCACCATGCCATGAACACATGGGGGGAGTGGAGGCATGGCTCTCCCATTCTTGACCTTGGCACTAGATGGAGGGGAGTGGTCAGCTTCACACCCTGGCTACTTCACCCCTTGATATCCACTGGATAGGAGGCTGGGTGGGCCCCAGAGCCAGTTTGAACACTGTGGGGAGGAGAAAAATCTTGTGCCCCTGCCAGAAATCAAACCCTGGCTATCTAGCCCATAGCCCTTCACTATACTGACTGAGCTGTCCTGGCTCCCACTCATCTAAAGGTACGTTCTCTGTGTTGTAATACTGAAGAGAGACAGTTTCTAATGAATATCTAATAGCCCTGACTTATTTCCTAGTACTATCAAGATCACACAATCAATCCATTATTTTGTTCAGGAATAAACCTGAAGGCAAATATGAACAAATGTTACTATTATATATCTAGTGATGTTCAAGATGACTTGAGTTTAAGCAGTCTTAAACATAATATCTCATTATTCCATATGCCATATCTTACAGGATGATTTCTGGACACTTAAATTTTTCAAAAAGAACATATGAATATATACCCTGAGGGTTTTCCTTAAAGAGTTACAGCTGTTCTAATTTCAAATTCCACGGTCACACCCTGAATACTTCATAAGTTTAACAGGTTGTGTATAATGAGGAAACATATGAAGACCTATCAATAACATTTCTGTTTTTACTTTTTTCCAAGAGGTCCTCAAAATGGTCACAATGTTTACAGACACACAACCTTGTGTGATAGGATTTATAATATTATAATAATGGCCTACTGCAGTGGGCTATATGTCAAAGCCATCTTAATATCCATAGTTTAACAGTCAACAGCACAGAAAAGCACAAAGCTTAATGTCCATCATTCCTATTTGTCTGACACAGGACAGCTCAATTAGTAAAGTGGATGACTAGGATTGGAGTTTCAGCAGAGTAGAGTTTCTATTTCAACCATCCTGTCCGAACAAGCACTTCAGCCTATCAGCCTCCTACATAACAAGTACCGGGGGTTTATCCCCAGGAGGTACAGCAGCCAGAATAGGAAACTGACCACTCACATTCATCTAGTGCTGTAGTTTATAAAGCACAGAGTTTATCACCATGCTCAGTGTATGTCTTCAAGGCACGGTGCTTAGGAGAAGTGGGAACATTACCTCTCATGTCTTCACTTTGGCTTTTTTGGGCTCATATAATCTGTGATAATTAACTGTAATTCCACATACCCCATTCATTATCTTCATGAGTAACTTCCTTGTCATCGAAGCTGGTATCTCTGCCAGATTCCTGTTCTTTTGGAGGCCGAGCTTTAACCTCATCTTGCCGCTGTTGACAGAAACTGTCATCACAAGCTGGGTTGGGCCGCAGATGCATTGTTGGAAAGAAGTCAGTCAGAGCATTGTACCCTAAATAATAAGACACTTGGCCAAATCCCAGCAGATACCTACAAAAGAAAGTATATATAAAACTAAACAGTTAGGAATGATTAGTTCAAAACAGCTTTTTCATGAAATTCAATTTTATTTGTCAGCAACAGGTCTGATTAAACTTGGAAAAGTATGAATGATGCATTTCAAATCCTGTCTGTACATACATGCGTGTGCATGTAAATCATGTTTCATATTCAATAAAATCTTCAATTACTGACAGCAGTAGAGCGTGGATTTGTGAAAAATATAAAGGTGCGTCCACATTGCTAATGCTCGTCGGGAGACTCGTCTGGCTTTTACTTGTGCTCATAAATCTTTGTCCACACTACTTCAGTTGCTCGCCAGGCTTCGGCGCGTGAGGATCCCTATATTTACTCGTAGTGTGTATAGGCTGTAGTCATAATTTAATTTATTGGCTATAGTTTTAAAAATTAAAAATTTAAAATTTGCTTGTCTCGTGACTTGTCATATCATCCACATTACTCGCTAGCATAGCGAGTCACACAAGCACGAGCTTGAGTAACGTGGACATGCCTTAAGGCACAGAAATAATTTCATTTTGATTCTAGAAACTAGCAAACAGGAATACTTCCACCTTCATCTCAGTCCTCTAAGTGGTCACTTCCACCAATATTCTGGACAGATTTTTTTGTTTCCCACATCTGAACTGCATGTGCAATTGACTTGGCTAACTATACCAGGTGTGTTATATACATCACAGAATTTCAGCATTAAAATTCTTTAGTGTGATCACCTGTGTAACAGCTCAGCTGAATACCATGTCAGAAACACAATCTGTGTCAATTTTTCTGCTCAACAATGTTGAAGCCAACTATGTGAGACTGTTAGTGCTTTAATTTGCTGCAAGAGCTTAAAAACTTACACAAAGTTCCTCCTTATACAGTATCTTTCCATTTCCCCCTCACTTCATTCCTCTCAGGTCCATATACATTTGTGAGCAGTTTTCAAATACTTTTAATTATGATCTTGTCTCAAAGAAACTGTATTACACAACCATACTGATAAAATAATTTAATAACTTAATCTTTGGTGAAATCCTAATCTTCTAATGTAACAGTTTCTGAAATGAATAATGATGATTTACTGTACTGATTGTCTTCATACAACATATTTTAATTTTTCTTATTTTATGTCTGTCGCTTCAATAAAAGATAAGTTAAAGTTGATCACATAAACTTGTAATATGCTGTTAGCACAAAATTATGTGTTCATCATCTGTCTGAATAATATCTCCTGAGATTCCTGAAAGGTTTGCAGTGAAATCTTTTCACACTAAGAACTCATAAACATGTAATTCTGGTTAATAAAGTGAGTCCCTACTTCACATGCCATTCATGCATGTCCCCACAAAAAATGCATCATCTTACAAAAATTTAGTATAGCCCATAAAATATCAATTTCATTACGTTCTACAACTCTATTCAAACATTTTTCAGTGTCTTGAACTTTTAACAAAATTAAAAGGAGGAAACAAATTGTGACTGTAATGTGAAATGTGTAGAATTAGCTCTGTAATAATGGGATTGTATGTACAACAGGAGGTTTGTATCTGTAATAAATCAGCATGAAAACTGATGAGATGTATAAAATCGCAAAGAATTGATTCGGAAAATATGTGTACTCCAACATGAACTACTGCTATTTTATTTTTTAGTAGTTTCCTTAATGATGCTGTTAGTGAGTCATTCTCATCCTGACCTCAAACTTCACTGCCACATACAATGAAATTCCCATTGTTTTTAAGGTTCCTTTGATGAACAGTAGACCTGAACACTAAACTGTGAAAAATCTAAAATGGAGGAAATTTAACACTAAGACACTAACCTTGGATCACTGCAAATGAACATTAAATGAAGGAAAACCTCAAAACTGAGAAACATTATGTGAGGACTCCACTGTAATAATATTGGTACTGCCAGAACTTCATAAAACTTCAGCACTGTTTCTGAGGTTGACTTTTTTGTGTCCTTGAAATAATTCAACATGCTTTTAAAGCTTTATTTTTCTTAACATTGTCATAATTATTGTAACATCACAGCTGAGATTAAAATCTGTCAACTTGTTCTATGAGCATGTTACTTAAAATTATCTTCAAATAAAGTAGGCATCCCCTTGATTTTGTGGTGGAGACTATAAAATTATAATCATCACATTCAACTGAAACATAGTTTTCTAAGGTCATTTTCAATTTCTTTGTATGGCACCCAACATACATAATGGTTAGATGGGAATCAACAGATAGCAGCCGTGCCATTCATCTCACTCTGCAAAATTCTGGTAATGCCTCCAGAAGACATTCTGTTACTTAAGAAACAACTAGACTGATATTACAAGGCACAGACTAAGCCGCCCCGCACCAACAAACTGTGATTACTGAAGAACTGAAAATTGCAACACAGAATATGAATGGGATGTCAAACACAGGACAGAACTGATAAAAGAATTAGGTGAAAGTAAAATAAATATTATTGTGGTTAACACAAAGAGAGACAGAAGGAGAGAGATTCAAGGAGACTCAAAACACAGATGATTGTGTAGTGATATACAATGGAATTGGTAAAACAGAAAGAGCAGCTGGAGAAGTCACTTTTTGTTTTGATTTCTTGGGGAGGGGCGAGACCGAGTCCATTTGGTATGTCAGCCAATAAGTGGCCTATTGTACCAGCTCCAGATGATAGACAATGACAACTGCAGAGCAGTTAGTGGAATGAGAATTGCAGGGGAAACTGAAGTACTTGGAGAAAACATGCCCCGTGCCACTCTGTCCAACACAAATCTCACATGACCTGACCTGGGATCAAACCTGGGCTGCCACAGTGGGAATCCAGCAACTAATTGCCTGAGCTACAGCATGGCCTAGAAGTCATATTACTAGCAGATAAAATTGGACACAGAAATTCAAATGCTCTACATATACAAATTAAAGAATTATTCCAAGAGGACATCTTATGATAACTATACATATGGACCTGAAGAAAGAAGAAAGAGTTATTGCTTGAGCCAACGTTCTCAGTGTGGAGTACTCCTATTAAACCTCTACTTACTTCAATGTGTTCTGGACAAGGAAGCCTGCAACAATGCCCATCGTAGTTGGGAGGCTCGCTGCACACACACCATCCTTCTTCAGTGTTTTCTCATCAATGTTAGATGCGACAACCAAAGGTGGAGCACACTGAAAACCAAGACAATGTGAATTTTTAAAACTAATAATTCAAGCATTTCCTGAATTTAATCTTTTAAATTTTGGTGCATACCAGTCAACTATAACCTCAGCTCTATATGAAGCCTAACTGAATGTACAGAATTTCTTGAAGAATGGTTCGCTTTACGAAACATCCATCCTGTATTCTGATAATGAAATATGAACATATATTTAGTTTTCTCTCTCTTTACTTCTAGACCAATCTCCTTACAGTACCTAATATATCTTCTGTGTTTTTCTTTATACATTTTATATTTTAGTCCAGTAAATTAACATCAGCAGCACAGACCAGAAGCCACTGTGCTCCATTCTGTTCCAGTATGTTCTGGTTTTCTTGGACCTTCCTAATGGCACATTCCAAAGCAAAGCTTAAAGCAACGGTGATAAGGCATCCCCTTGCTTGAGACCATTGTGAATAGAAAATGGATCTAACAAATGTTTACTTATATGGACTTCACTATACACTCCATATAAAACCATTTTAATTACAATTATAAAAGACAAGTCCATCCAATGTGCCTATTAGCTTCACCATCTTCATAGATATACTAAATTCAATGAGTTGAAGACTTCATGAACGCCAGTAATTCATCAAAATATGAAGTTAACTGTGAGAAAAGAATGTTGGATGAAATTTATTAACAGCCAGAAGCCTTAATAAGTATTACATTCAGTTACATCACCCTTTTTTGTAAATTGATAAGGCAACAGATTCCTTCCACTGCCAATCACAATTCTTCCTTATTTCAAACAGTATTATTATTATTATTATTATTATTATTATTATTTAACTGCAAATGGATTT